ATGCAGCTTTAACACACGAAGCTTTAAAGAACTTTAAAGAACCGGAGGTTGACGTCTGCTCAGGGACAGAAACAATCTACATCGACAAACTGAACACAGCAAGTTTCATAATGTTTGTATCGGATAGTTTGCGACAGACGTCACTAGAAGATTAGAACAACGAGGTAAAAAGGTCAGACAGCACACAGCGAGATACAATGAAGCACACGCTTAGAAACATGACATTACAGAGTGGAGAGTTCTGGTTGCTCTATTAAAGGTTTGTGGCAACTTTCAAGTTGAGTTTTACGGTTTTTTGTTTAATCCAACACATTGTTTGTTTAACTCATCCAAAAACCAAAGTGTGTAACAGACATGAAGTCGTTGTTATGTTCTGTTTGTGTCACAAACGTCTTGTGAAACAACCTCAAACGTTTCCTCTTCTGTTCTCCAGTCGACTCCCCAGGACGCTGAGCTAGTGTTGTGTTCACGTTGTGTCTCGTAGAGGCGGTGAAATCTTTCATCAGTGGAGTTCGTTCAGTGGATGCTGGTTTCTCTCTGACTCTGTTCTGTGGTCACCAGGTTGTATCCGGTGGTTCCAGGAAACGCTCGAGTGAGCGTTGAAAATGAGATCGTGGTTGGAGATCATCTCTTCCCCAAAAACGTGAGAAATCTTCACAATGACCTTTTGATACTCGCTTCATCTAGAGCTGGTACTCTCTCATCAGTACCGATTGTAAGTGTGGACGTATGTGCACGTTTGAATCCCACAGACGCTGTTCCACCTGTGCCACTACGCCGTGTCCTACGACGAGAACATCTTCCCCGACGCCCACTCCTTCCTGCCTCAGCGCTGGCTCCGAGGGGCCGAGGAGAAGTCCAGGCAGCACCCGTTCGGGTCGGTGCCGTTCGGTTTTGGGATCCGGGCGTGTCTGGGGAGACGGGTGGCCGAGCTGGAGATGTACCTCCTCCTGTCGAGGGTAAGGTCGTCTCGCTGCTGAGCTCTGGTATCGTTCATTTCTGCTGCTCAGAGGAAGAAACAATCGAAGCAGATTCCTTCTGCAAAGCACGATGTTTAACATGACGCCACACGGCCTGAAGTACGGAGTCACAGGAGCGACGTGAGGATGAATACATCTGAGAAGAAGAAGAAAATAAATGTGGACTTCTTAGAGAGGAATAAATCAGAATACAGAGACGAATAACAAATGATATGAAAATGATTATAAGCTTGTTCACATCTGCTTGTTCATTTATTTCTGTATGAATGAATGAATATATTTACATATATATATTTGTTTGCATATAAAGTGGTCAGCTTTGTTCTGTATATTTTTTAGTTATTTATCTTTATAAAATGTCAGTTATTTGTATTTATTCTTTTCCTTCAAAAAGAAAAAGGGATAAAAATATATAAATATATACATTTTGAAATATACAGAATAAATGTCATATTTTCAGAGAGCCGTATCGACTTGTTTTTGTAAATTGTTACCGTAACATGTTGACCCGGAGCACGGAGCTCTGGCTCTTCTTCTTCTGTTAATCTGTTCTCACCCAGAACCCTCGGCTGTGACTCAGCGATGTGTTGAGCGGTCTCTAATCATTGACTCTTAACCTGTGCTGCGTCATGTAAATAAACATGCTTCTCTTCTTTCATTCCCACAGCTGATGAAACACTACGAGGTGAGGCCGGATCCGGCCGGCACCGAGGTGACGCCGATCACCAGAACTCTGCTCTGCCCGGCTAAACCCATCAACCTGCAGTTTGTGGACCGAGCGGCGCAGCGGCAGTAGTTCAGTATTCACACCGATGATAGAGATTCTATAGATTATACAGATAATACAGATGATATAGAATATATAGATCATGAGGCTGAATGTACAGTTTGCTTGTTGTTTCATGTAAATATGAAGACTGAATGAGTCCCTGGAGGAGTGTTGTAGTTCAGTTGTTCAGGACGATGTCAGCAGCTATCAGGAGAGGAACATACACGTAATGTAATATTTTTGTTTCTTCCATAACACGTCTTCTTTCAGACTTGAGGAAATAAAACATTTATTTTATTATTTTGTCTGTAGATTTCTCCTAAAATCACCAGAAGTTACATTACATAACGCCTCATTTGCATATTTAAACATAACATTTTCAGAAAACTTGTAACAAAAACAATCAACCGGAGAAGTTTTCATGTTCATACATCTAAACGTTGTTTTCATTTTCCTTTCATCTAAAACTAATGTTTTTATTGTACATATTAAAAACCAGCTGATGAGGAAACTACAAAATAAAAGCATTGTCAGTGAGTCGGACTGTGACCTTTATATTTAATGTTAATGATTCTTCAGACGGAGCTTTATTCCATATTTTAGTGTTTCTTGTTCATTGTTGTTGTGCAGTTCAATGATTCATATAATAAAGAACCCACAACATGAAGCTTTTAATCTTTACTGCGTCTTCTTCCTCTTCCTCATCATTCTGTCTCATAAAGACAGAAATGTAGAAATCTGTATTATTTTGTCCACATGGACTTATATTAATCAATAACACTTTGTTCATGAAGCACCTTTCACACAGTTTAGTGCTTCACATCTACAGAAATACTAAAACTATTAAACACTTTGAGATCAATGCAAGACTAACAATTACAGTAAATAGATTTCAAAACTATAAATGATAAATAAATAATAAATTAAATAACAGGAAAAAATACAACTTAAATATATTAAAATAAGTGTTTAATAAAATAACAAAGTATAATAAACTGTCACAACTTAAGCACAATAAAGTAAAAATAATCATTTCTATAAAGCACTCATAATCTACGGCGGGCTGAGCAGCGAGGTTTGAAGTTCCAGCAGCAACAGAAACATCTCAAATAATCCTCCTTTCACATCCGGTCTGCTGCCGGACAGCTGATTCATACCTGTGTTTGGTTTTTAATGCTTTTAATAAGTTGTGTTGTCGTCAGATGTCTGTTCATTAGTAGAGCAGTGCTGCCCTCTAGTGGGCTGTTGGGGAACTACACGATGCTCTGATTCACTCGTTCATTACTTCAACAGATGTATTAATGATTAATCACAGTTATCACCACCTCCACTACAAACACAACGCTGTTTACATCATGTCAGCTGCTCCCACGTTGTGATGATGTCACAGGATCTGAGTAATCTATTACACATCACAGTCATTGACAGGTTACACCTTCACAGCGTGTTCCCCTCCTGTCTTCTCTCTGATCACTGAGCCTGACATCAGTATTCATTCAGTCCAGTGTTCACATATCTGAGGTCGGTTATAAAAGAAAAACAAGCTTCTTTTATTGCTGTTTCATTGTTATTATCACGTGTTCAAAGGGATTCACCCCGGAGAGAGTTAGAGGTGTTTTGTGTCTCTTTGTAGTCATTTCATCTTGTTTTGGTCCTTTTTTGTGTGTCTTAAACTTTTCTCTCATTTACTTTTCAAGGAATCTTATTTTCTTCCGGACTGAACAAAACAAAAGAAAACAAACAGACGTACCCCGACATTCTGCCGATTCAGTTAAAACTTATTTGTGATGTCGAGAGCAAAAGTGATCCACGACAAAATACTTTACCATCAACACGCCTGCGTCCACCCTCCTGTCTCTTTAAGAACCCTCCCAAAAACAGCCCGGTCTGCTCCGATTGGCTCGGGAGAACAGCATAGTTCACCTTCTCAAAGGTAGTCCTGAAGCCGTGGGCGGAGCCTGCAACACCTTTGTGTTCCTTTGGGGCGGCGCTTCTCTCTTGTTGTTTTTAGCAATTTTTATACAAACGTAAAAGTTGAAACGTTCCCAACATTTTAGCGAATCAAAATCAAGCAAGAGGCGGGCTTTACTTCTTTACTACTGACTTCCTGTTGTGATGCGGTCTCATGTTCCCATATATCCAGATGAAGAAGCAAAGTGACGTGTTTCATGATACGTCCACTTTAACAACAAGTGGAGAAGTAAAAGTGAAACTTTAATTTAAAGCTACTACAAGAAACTCTCCTAGTTGTGTTGAGTCTGTCGCCCCCTGTGGACTAACGTGGTAGTGTCTCTGAGCACCAGACTCCCTCATTGCACTGCAGCAGGCTCCGACAGTCTGCCCCTCTCAGTCCTGGTTCTATAGAAACAGACATCTTCACTGATGTAGATCATATAGACTCCAGAGGATCAGGACTGAGACTGATTCACAACCTGGTTTTAAAGTCCCAGTGAAACAGACGTTAGAGCGTCTTTCATCTCTCTGCTGTTCACCAGTGAACAAGAGGATTTAAATCAGATCCTTCACATCCGACTGAAGCACGACCCAAACCTCCATGAGCAGATAGACGGATGCCGTGATGTGAGACTCACAGCAGCAGAATGAAGAGCAGCTTTTATCCTCCAGGCCATCAGACTATAAAGAATACACACACAATGTACACAATGTACAATATGCATCTTCATTGTTGCTGCTTTTGTATTTTCTTGGAGGGATATTTGTATTGCTTCTTGTTATATTTATTTGATTATATTCTAAAGGTCTGCATTCATGTGTTTATCACTTGATGTTGCAGCTACAGATGGAGCTCATTATTAATCTGCTGAGAAGCTTCAGAGTCAATCAAATCTTTAATCTCGTTTATTTTGTGTTGTAATTCTGATTCTGAATAGTTTAAAAATAAATCACCAAAGTTGTCAAATAAAAAGAACAATATCAGACTAAATATTAAATGTACTTATCTTCATTACTCATAAGTTCAACTAAATGTGGAGATGACTGAAGAAAGGGAACTGTTGTCAGAGGGTGACTTGTTAGACCACAATGACAGACACACACACACACACACACACACACACACACACACACACTGTGCATGTTCACGCTCATGATGATCAACACTTCCAGTTCATGTGGCCCCTCCATCATTCACTGAGAGCCTCACAACGGCTCTATTGTGCCGCCAGAAAGGCTAAGGATCCCGGCTTCCCCTCCACCGCCTCTACCGGACCTCCTGCTCCAGCGCACCCCGCCCACAGAGCGTCTCCTGCGGGTGCAGTTTCAGTGAAGCTCCTGAAGCAGCAGGTTCAGTTGTTGTTGTTGTTGTTGGTGGAACATTAACTCGTTCGTGAGCGTTAAGAGTTGATCATTTACATCCGCGGCCTCAGTCAGCGGAGCGCAGCGGAGCGGGACGGACTTGGATTTGGGTCAGAAGCTCCAGCAGAGACCTCCTCGATATCTACGCAGATAAAAACAGAGACATGAAGGTAAGCGCGTGCACGTGCAGCAGGAACACAGTCGCTCTGTTTGGTGGCGGGAAAAGTTTTTTATTTTTGTAATTTACACCGTAAAATAAGAGAAGTTGTTGCATCGAGTTGGAGACGTGGACGCATGGCAGCTGCACACACAAAGGCACAAAGAGGACACGTTTGGTGCTTAAAGTCAGAACACGGGTGTGTTTAGAAGTTGTTCTCTGGGTTCAGGTCTCTCTGATCCAGTTCTTTAAATCATGACAGACATGATGCAACAGGCTGTTTGGAGAATTCGGGTGGAGGCGACTTCTGATTGGCTTCTCGAGTCATTTAAAGGCTCATTTCACCCAAACTGCTCATCTGCGCACACTTTAAATGTTTGTGTTCTCATTGCGGTGTCAGTTTTCACTAAAACTCTCTCTGAGTAAATAGTTCTGCTGACAAACAACACCAAGGTCTCTGACCCCGGTCACATGATCCTCTTGTTAAAGGTCTTTACAGCTGACAGGAAGTCGTAAAAGTGCCGCTTTATTATTACTGTTGACTGTAAAGATTCTGTGAAGACTGCAATCAAAATCACATTCACCTCTATTGTAGAGTTTGATGTCTGAGGACACACAAAACAGGACAAACTCAACCCGAAATACAGATTCACATCAAAAGACCAGGACACAAACCTCCGGTTCCTTAAAGTGAAG